AATTAAATAAAAGAATAAGAAAAAGACCCTGAAAGGTGAAAAGATTCAGTGAGTTTGAGTAAGGAGAGAGATGTTTCACATAAACACAACTTCCATGCCAAGGTCCTGTCTAAGGAAAATGCTTGTCTAAGGCACAAACCTTAGGACAATGTGTTTAAAGGAGGGCGAGAGGAGAATGTCCATGAGAGTCTTCATGGTCATGGGGATTCAGACACAGTAGAGCAACATGAGTTTCCTGGGTCTGCTTGGCAGGACATTGTCCAGCAGGACCCAGGTCTTTTAGTACATGCCAACAAAACTGTGGTCCTGTCTTTGATTTGAGATCAGATCGTTGGTAGAGGGGTGATTGGTGACCTCAGGGCATGGTCATAAAGACTGGAAACAGAGGCCATCCCTGTATTCTTGACCCAGGTTTCTCAGCCTCAACCCTTGGCTTGCTGGCGATGTTTCCTCTCCCAGACACTGGGTAGCATCACCTGTCCCCACCTTGTACCTGAGACAAACATTCTTTTCCAAGCATTCAGCTAAAGATACTGAGTTTGCAGATCAACAGGGATCAGTGATAGAAAATATCAGGATTAGTATACCAAGATCTCACTGTAGAATTTCCCAATAGTAGAGAGTAATTCATGCAACTAGGGCCCATGGCAGCAAATAATTTTCACCTCAGGGTGGACATAAATGTTAGCATCTTCAGATGCACAAGGCACATTGACCCAGGTGAACGTTATTGTAAGCAAATACACGATTATGGCTGGAGATTCTCAGGTCTTCATCCCAGAAGCTGAGAGGTATGGGTCTCTATTGTTCTAATGCACAGATGTGGAAACTGAGGCCTCAAAAGCTGCAGAGTGACAGTGCTGACAGTAGAGACAGTTGATCCTTTAGTGTTGTCTGACTGTGTGTTCCACCATGCTGCTTCCCAGGTGTGGGAACAGGATTCAAGTCAGGTCCTAAAGCCTCCCTGAGAGCCCAGTCTCCTGGGATGGATGAGTCTTACCTGCCTGATGAATCAGAGATGTCCTTCATTGTTTCATTTGCCCATATCCACAGGGTCACATAAAGCAGGCTGTTCTGGCTCTCTGTTACATTTCTTAAGAAACATAGGAGTTTCAAGGAAATGATGGCTCTTTTCCTGGGATTATCATCAGGCCTGCAGAAGATAAAAGTCACACTGGTTGCCCTGGTTTTCCTCTTCTGAGTGGATGCTATAACATGTGTCTAAAGGCATTGTCAGTAACATCTGGGTAATATCAACATGTTACATATTCTCCACAAAATTTACGCATTTGTATTAGAGTTCTCTAGGTCATGCATGTTCAGCACATGTGAGCTTTTTACTTGACATTAGACTAAGAATTAGGATAATTGCTGACATTTGTGACACAAAATACCTGTGTTCATTTCAAGTATTATACGTGGTTTAATCCATTGAATCACTACAACAGTGCTAGGAGAAAAATCACACTCTTTTCAGAGTGAGGAGACCTGGGCATAGAGAGGTTAAGTAAGTACCCCAAGATCTCACAGCTCATGGCTTCATAAGTGCATGGACTTCATCCAGGCTCTATGCCCCCCACTGCTGCTGATGGAAGCCAGGCTCTCACATGTACTGGGCAAGTTCTCTCCCTGAAATATACCCCCAGGTCTGAAACTCTCTTGCACAGCTTCTTCACTTGAACATTTCCTTATCTGTCTGTTTAAATTAAAAATTTTATTTATCTTTTACTTGTTCATCTAGTCTATCCATAATCTCTGAGTTCTAGTTTCTATGAGAAACCATATCTCAAAAATTAATGTGGCAAAAGTTTGAGGCAGATTCCTGATGTTTGCCTCTGACCTCCACCATCACTTGTGAGTACATATGTGAGTCTGCATACACACATACACCAATGCAAAACACACAAAAAAGGATGTTGCATAGGACATTTTTTTTGAAAGAGATTTAATGTGGCCTGTTTTCACTAGAATACTTTAAAGATTGGGTTGTTAGGCCTCAGAGGGTCTCCCCTTTAACAGATTAGGAAACGGAGGGCAGAGGTCTTGAAGTACCTGGGAATGAAGTAACCACTCAAATGGCCAGGTCACTGCACCTTCTAAATTTAAGTGACATATACTCACAGATACACAGAAGAATCCACAATCAAGAGCATCTTCATCTCTGTGCTGTTGTCGTTGGAAGACAGGCCAGCTTGCAAGTCCCTCTTTCTCTGTCCACTGAATATATCCCTGCAACAAACCACAAGTGCACTCTAGTCATCCCTCCTGCAATATTTGAAGTCTCCTCATCACCCTCGTGTCCTCACTAGGTCCTATTCAGCAATGTGAGCCTCTACACTCTCAAGGACAGTCACAGAACAAGGGAAACAGTAGGAAGCAGGTCCAGAACTTGAACCCAGGACTGTGTGACTCAAAACTCTAGAAAGCCACTGCTTGGGACTAATGGGTATGGATTCCAGCTTCCTGTCCCTCTAAGGAACTTGGACTTTTACTTTTGGCTAAATTTGAATGAAGAAAGTATTTTTCTTAGAGAAAGGCTTTAGGTACCACCATGCAGGTGGAGATGGGGACAAATGGAACATTCACCTTGAGCATTACAGACTATGGGAAATTACAGACTATGGGAAAACAGATGTGTGAACTGGCCCTGTAGTTCTGCCTCATACCTACTCAAGCTCTAATGTTCCTTGCCTTGGAACTCCACAGCTCTGTGGAGAAGACAAGGCTTATCCATAGGTCTTTAACATCAGTCCCTTTTCTGGGAGCAAAGAAGTACCAACTTACCTCATATTATTCAGATAAAAAGAGTGATTTAATCTTCTCAAAGTCATTGAGTCGTAAAGAAGTACAATGTTTTCAATTGTCCTTTCCTGATGCTCAGTTTTCTCACTGAAGTTGACCGGCACATCCAGCTTCTGAATGAATTCTGTCACAATAGTCATCAATCAGTGTTTGCAGCACTAGGGAATGAGCTCCTATCCTCCTGATCTCAGAGAAGTCAGTTTCCCTGCGCTGTTTCATTCAGTCTCTGCAATAGCTCAGCAAGAAAGGACTGCCACCATCTCCATTGTTCAGAAGAGGAACCTGAGATTCCTTAGATTTGGAAATGTTCCACACAGCTGGATCCATGCACTGTTTCCAGCCTGACTAAATATTAATATCAGTCACTTATCAAAAAGAATTGGTAATTGGCCAAGCAATGGAAGTGGATTGTGTATGCCTGTTTGCAGGGCTGACTTTAGGATCTGTTGCTCTTATTGAGGTTGTCATGTGAGTCTGAAAATATTAGTCAAGAACTGGAGTTAATAGACCAAGAAATGGAGAAATGGAGAACCAGGGAAAAAAAAAGAAGAGGACAAATATTGATCCAACCAATGAAAGAGGAGAATAGGTGTCCCAACCTGACAGCTGGGAATTTGGCCTACAGAAAATGACATTGGAGCAGGAGATAGAGTCCTAACAAAAGATCTCAGAGAGCAACAGGGAAATGCATAGAATTGGTGTTGTGTGCCAGACAGGAAGTGTGAAGTATTAGGGATGTTTATGTGGAAAATGTCTCTACTGTGACACAAAGAAATTATTAATCTGAAATAAAACAGAATGAATCAACCATAGCAGCAACAACAATCCCCCAATCTTTTTTAAAATGAGCCATGAGTTAAAATGATACTTTAAGATATTGATTGTAAAACATTTTTGCCATTTAATTTCTCCACAATTTGTAACCTGTTTCATTTGTTTGGATGTAAACCAGTTTAGATGAGCCTAGTGATGTCATAACTGTTTTGTCTCACTTGTACAGTGTTGTTTCAGTTCATCCTTCAGCTTTATTTGTTTAGCATTAATTAGTTACTTAAAGTTATTTAAATAACAAAATTATTTAGCTGTAGGTTAAATAATTGTAATTATTTAAAGT